AGGTTCCCTAGGTTTTTGTCACTCCTTCATGTCCTTCTTCTCAAGTCTGTTCCTAGTGTCTCTTTTTCTAGGCTTCCTATCTTTGTGGATATATGGCTTCTTATTTTTTTTCCAGAAATGGTTATTTTAACATACAAAAAATCAAGATAATTTACAAATGAATTAGTAGGGAACTCAATAGTAAAAGATTCTAGCTTTAGTCATAGTTGATAGGCTTAAGTGATTAAGGCAAGTGGAAAGCTGTTACTCCAGGAACTGGAATGCACGACCTATGTGACCCCAGGAGGTGAACAAACCATTGGATCTTGTGCCCCAGGAGGTCTGCAGTGGTGGATTTGGTCTGTGAGCCATTGTGTTCCAGGGAGGCAACAGCAGTTATGCATGTAAAGAATTGGTGGTCCCCTGGCTGGCGTAGCTCAGTGGATTGAGTGCGGGCTGCGAACCAAAGTGTCTCAGGTTCGCTTTCCCAGACAGGGTACATGCCTGGGTTGCAGGTCACGGCCCCCAGCAACCGCACATTGATGTCTCTCTCTCTCTCTCTCTCTCTCTCTCCCCCTCCCTTCCTTCTCTAAAAATAAATAAATAAAATATTTTTTAAAAAAAGAATTGGTGGTCAACAGATAAAGAAGCACCAGGAAAATTGTGGCAGGATGGCACCTCGTATTTGATTAACCTTTTTTCCAAATCCCTTACCCACCCTTTCTTCTCCTTATAAAAAGGTCAGCTTGAGGTGAGAGGTTAACACAGTTTTTTTGGGTTTTTTTAGAAGAGATATTCTTTTTTTAAAAAAAGATTTTATTTATTTATTTTTAGAGAGGGAAGGGAGGGAGAAAGAGAGAGAGAGAAACATCAATGTGCGGTTGCTGGAGGCCATGGCCTGCAACCCAGGCATGTGCCCTGACTGGGAATCGAACCTGCGACACTTTGGTTCGCAGCCCACACTCAATCCACTGAGCTACACCAGCCAGGGCTTTAACACAGTTTTTGAGGGTACATAACCTGCTGTCTTCTCAGATTGCCAGTTTCTGAATAAAGAGCCCATAAAGATTCAATTCTTGTCTCTGCTTATTGGTTCTGGCAGTGACAGGCGGCACAAGTCCAGTTTCAGACCCAGTCTGAGGGGAGGAAGTCAAAGCCACCTCTCTCCTCACTAAATTGTCTCTTAGGCACTCCTCTTTCAACTCACTAGGACCCTTTGTGTCAGCCACAGTCCAACCAAAGAAAAAAAAATCAATTTATATATATACATGGATCAAGTACAAGGAATTGACTTACACGATTGTGGAGGCAAACCCATGGGCCAGGCCAGCAGGAAGGACAGGCTGGACGCTGCACCCACAGGTGGGATTTCTTGTTCTCCAGAGAAGCCTCAGCCCTACTCTTAAAGCTTTTCACCTGGTGACATCAGGCCCACCCAGAGTATCTACATATCTCCCTCAAAGTCAACTGGCTTTGGATTTTAATTACAAAATACTTTCTCAGTAGCACCTAGATGAGTGTTTGATTGACTAGTAACTACAGCTTAGCTAAGCCGACACATAAAACTGGCCATCACACCCTTATTATGGGTTGGGTATTTTGTAGGAAGTAAAACCAGGGCTTAAACATTTCCTTTGAAAATCTACATCTTATTCTAGTACTCACTGTGCAATTCTATATCTATTATACCAGTTTAATTTCCTCATGTGTCATCTGGATGCCCAGCAAGGGGGAACAGTCCCAACCAGTGAGCCCCTTATTCGCAGTTCCCTGAACCCCCCTGCCTCACCCTTAGTTTGCACCATCAGTTCCTGCTCCAGACATCTCTTGGCTCTGTTGGCCCTTAAGCTGGCTGCCAAGGTCTGTGGTTGTGGCCTTACTCTGATGCATGTCTCCTTCCGCCTGGCCCCCACATGTGACTGGCTGTGCGTACGCTCCGTATTATTCTTGTGCAACACTCTGGGTTCCCCGTCTCTTCCCGCCTCACTCAAGGAACGTGCTTTCCTCCCGTCTGTCTTACGCTCTGTGCCTACATTGGGGCCGCAGCGTGGCTCTGACCTTCTTACCCTCCTGCACTGAAAAGCACCAGGCCAGGTGAAGTCCTCCATCTTTACACCCGAAGGCACGAATGGAACATTCCTCATTTCTTACAGAATTCATACCAAAAGCCACATTCATGTAAAGCCTTCCATAATAGTATTCTGGTCTATTGCAGAATTTTCTCAGCAAACCAGGTGATTTGCTCTTCCTCAAATTCAATCTATCCTTTCTGTGGAGGAAAAGGCATTGGTATAATAAATCATACATCCCTAACCAGGTAGGTCACGGTGGGCAGCCACGCCCCAGGCCTGTGACGTCCTTGGTGGAAGGTCCTTAAGCCAGTTCTGTCCATCGCCCTGTGCATCCCGGTTGGCACCCCTTGGAAATGCCGCAGGTACCACCCCTCGAAGACATAACCACCCTCAGGAGAGCACATGGTCCTAACTGTGCTGCGGTCCATCCCAGCCTTGCTGTCCCCCTCTCCGTGTCCTCTTCCTTATGTTTCCTCCTTCATTCCAACTGCGTACAAGAAACTGCACACTGTTATTCTCTGGAGCACTAGAGATCTTGCTTCCAGGCATAGGTTGTCAGTTTTGCTGCAAACTCATAAAAACTCTCCACAGGTTCAGATGTTTCTTATGTGAGTATTTCCCATGTTTGTGATTTAGCTTGAGCTCTTCTTCTGTCTACAGTGTCTTGCCCTCCTCAGCTCCACCCACCAAAATCTCATCCACCTTTCGAAGTTCACCGCAAGTGATGCTGTAACCGCACAGAAACTCCACTTTTTAAACATGACCCTTTCTCCTTTCTGTTTGTCCCCTCACTTTCTTAATCATTAAACCCCTCGAACACCAGATCCTGGCCAGCATCAGACTGTCGCAGGAAGAAAGCAGGAGGGCTGTCTGACCACAGAAACAGAGTTTTTGTCAAGCTAAAGATAACACCTTGATGTCACATGTGTTTCAGTCCCGGGCCCGTGAAAGCTGAATCAAACCACATCCTCAGGAAACCAGACAGAGCAGCACCATCCACGGCTGACCTCAGGTCCTTATGCAGTGACCCACTGCGCCCTGCGCTGGTCCCAACCAATCAGGGGAGCCCACGCCCCCAGCTCCCTTAGTCACCGTGACCCGTGATTTCTTTTCCTTACATAACCCATCCCCTGCGTACATAACCCACCCTCTGGAAGCCATCCGGGAGCCAGGTCTTGGAGCGCTTCTCACCTGTGCCTCGGGGCACGGTGCCATCTCCTCAGTCAATCAACCCTTGCTTCCTTGGCTGCAAACTCCTGTTCCTGCTTGGCTGGCCTTTGATGTGGGCAGGCAGATGGACCCCTTTCGTCTGGTAACGATTTCCCCTCCGTGAATCCTTTTCTAATATCCTCCACAGGGTAGGATGTCCGGTCTCCCTCCTCACAACCCCGTCACTCTCGTGGAACATGTGTTACTCTGGCTTACATTATAGTTATCCCACCTGTTGGTGTCATTTCCCACCCATCCCCGAATTGGAAGCTCTTGGGAACAGATGCTGTTCTGGCTCATGTCTCCATGGCCTCTAGCATCTAGCACGACGCTTTGCCCGAAGTAGATCCTTAGTAACTATTTTCTGGAATGAATGTCATTAGTCTGGGTCATTATTTCCCTTAACACTTGGTGAGGGGGCTGGACACACGATCTCTGAATCAGGAACCTTGGCTTTGAGCTTGCCCTTGTTAACCTTGTTTTTGTCTGGCCCTCATTCTCTTCACCTTTAAAATGAGAAATTTGGACCAAATGATTTTCAGAGTTCCTGCTATGTTCCTAAGTTCTAAGGGTTTTTTTTAATACCTAAAATGAGAATGCTGGCTTTTCACAGTTCGTCAGATAAGTAATCTTTGCTCCAAGGAGAAAGATACGCTATTCGAGGTGACAGAGTTTGAGTTGATGACATGACAGTGGGTTGGCAGCCCTGCCCTGCCCTATCTTGCCCTGCCTGGGGCAGCATGTACCCAAACTGCACCCAATCAGGGAGCAGAAAACCTTGTCACATGTACTAGGATGACAGCAGGCGACATGGGAGTAAATGCAGGGCAAGGAGAGAAATTGAATGCAGTTCCTTAAGAGAAGAATTTCTAACCCTTAAGGAAACAGAAGAAAGAGATATCAGTGAGTGAAGTCAAAGCCAAAATAACCATTTCTTTGACCCCGCAAGAAAGCCAGTAGGAGTTACCGTCCTTGAACTTCAGCCTTGAATGGCGCTGGGGACGGAGGTGCGGCGGCAAGTGGAAGCAGAGGGGAGAACCAAAAACAAAACATTACGAAGCTCCTCAGCTCACCTGCTCCTTTCACAAAGCTGTATTTATACTTTATCTTTCCCTCTTGTCTTCTCTCTCTAATTTCCCCCCACTGAGGTCTCAGTGGGTCTGATTTTTTTAAAAAAGGTTGAGGGGGTGAGGGGAGGGAAAGCTATGACATTTTCTAACTTTTCCCCCACCCAATTCAAATCCATAAAACAGAAGCTATTTCCCTGTTGTGAACACACGTGACTCAAAGATAAGGCACGTTATTTGGATGCTCAGGGAAGACGTCTTGTAATCCCACCACCTGAACCATCAGAGTTCACATTATTGCACTGTGACCCTCCCCACCCGCCAGGTCGCAGGGCCATTGTCCCCACTGTGCTCTGGAAGAGGCAACTTGTGGGCTCTTGCTTGGGCACAGAAATTATTTCTTATTTCTGCTGCCTTCTTGCTTCCTCAGCTGCCTGTGACCCACACGAAGTTGCTGCTGCTGCTGCTGCTGCAAAGGGCACAGACACGCCCTCTCCTCTTAGTGACTTCCCCAATGTCACCTGTCACCTCTCGGACTGAGTGAAGACAATGCTCTTCCCTCCTTTATTTTTTTAAGATTTATTTATTTATTTTTAGAGAGGGAAGGAAGGGAGAAAGAGAGAGAGAGAGAGAAACATCAATGTGTGGTTGCTGGGGGCTGTGGCCTGCAACCCAGGCATGTACCCTGACTGGGAATCGAACCTGTGACACTTTGGTTTGCAGCCCGCACTCAATCCACTGAGCTACGCCAGCCAGGGCTTAAATTTTTTTAAGGCACAAGGCAGGTCCTTCCCCAGCTCTCCACGAGGACGTGAGTGAGGCCAGGCTGTCACGTGTAAAAGGTGCTCCAGCGCCAGGAATCCGAGCATGAAAGTCAAGCTGGAGAACATGCCTTCACTCTCAAAGCAGACTGCAGTCGCCCCCAAAACCAACACATAGTTCCTGAGATCCTCCTGTGTGGCAAGCACAGTGCTGCACACGGAATCTTCACAACGATCTTGTTTTTTTTTTTTAATGACTTAAAATAACACAAATTTACTGTCTAAATTTCCGGAGGTCCGAAGTTTGAAATGAGTCTCTCTGGACACAATTTCGAGGGGGCATCGTCGGGGTGGCACCTTGGGGACCATTGTTTACTTGCCTTTTCTGGCTTCCAGAGGTTCCCCTCGTTCACAGGCTCATGGCCTCTCCCTCCAGCTTCGTATTTTTCTCCCAGCACGTCACAGCTGTTCCAAGGGACAGGTCATTCTTCTGTTATTGTGCCTGCTTCTCTGTCTCCGCAGCAGCCCAGGTCTCACCCTCTCCTCCGGCAGATAGACGGACTGATGTGTCTACCAGGATTTCGGTAAGGCCCTACCGACCAAAGCAATCAGTGCTTTTTTTTTTTTTTACCACTAATGCGCCGCAAACAGATAACCAAATGTCAAAATTAGCTTTAAAAAATAATGTTCATTTTCCATTAATGAAAAGAATGCTCATGAATGTCCAAAGGATTATCTGCAGAAATTTCTTTAAATAAGAAACTCTCCTGCTTCATTCGAAATTGAGTTCAGCCCCGACTGCAGCTCAGTGGGTTGGGCGTCGGCCTGCAAAGCAAAAGGTCATCGGTTCAGTTCCTGGGTCAAGGAGGGTTGTGGGTCCAGATTGATGTTTCTTTCTCTCTCCCTTCTCCTCTCTCTAAAAATGAATAAATAAAATCTTTAAAATAAACATTATAATTGATTTTAATTTGTAAGAATAAATGAAATACTGACAGTTTCCAGGAATGTTTAGCTTATAAAAAAGACTCATGTACAATTTCAAAGTTGTGTGTGTTTTTAAATAGCAATTACTAATGCCCCCAAAACTCATGCCAAGACTATTAAAACTAATATTTCGTTTGAATGATTTACATCGCAGTCAGGTGAGTATATTAGTTCCACATACACTGCCCTGTCTTTTTTGCCTCTGATGTCTCTGCCTGAAATATGGGAAAATTGGTTTTGAAATTTAGTTTGGGGACTAGAAATGACACCTTTCTTCCTTTACCCCTGGGAAGTAACTTGAGCCCATTTTGGATCAAGGAGCTATTTCTAACATTTAAAAAAAAGTTGTTTGTGTGTGCATGTGTGTTAAGGGTGACACCCAGGAACAAGAAGCCTTGTTGGGGCATGTCCTGTCGGGGACTCAGAGCCTAGCCTCTTTCCCCTGTGGTCTGCATGCTTCCCATGTCTGCGATACTATCTAAAGCAAATAGTACAGCTTGTTCCGTTGGCTTGGGTCATAAATACAGCCACATTATTTTTGTTTTTCCCAGCCATCGATTACAAGTGGATTCACCTTTATTCACAAGAACTGGAGTGTGTCCCTCTCAAGACCTCTCCGTGTCCTCCACAGGAGAAGTCTGAGAATTCAGTCCCAAGCAGGACACCCCTGCTTTCCACACACCCGCTAAAGAGAGAGAGGTTCCTGTCAACCAGCTCTGTCGCTGTGCTTGCCACCTTGGGGTGTCATCACCGGGTCCCGTGTTCCTTATTAGCAACTTTTAGGCTCTGATGTTAACTGCGCACAAGGACGCAGCTTCTGTGTCCCCGAGCCTTTCCCAGCGTCATGGCATCCAGAGGACGCTGCCTTACTCAGCCTTAGGGGATGCTCCGCGCTGGGGTTCTGCAGAGGCAGCCCCCCCGGGTCACACACAGATTCAGACGATACACCCTAAGCGGCAGGGTCTTGAGAACTTTGGCTGCTGACCACACACCAAGGTGGAAGCATCCACCTTCATGCCCAAGCACGGAGCCCCGGCTGTCAAGCCTGAGTCATCCGCTGCGAGTTTGCCTCCCTGGCAAGGGGCGCCTTGCTGCCAGCGGCCCCGGGAAGGTGGCCCTGGCCGGTTTCCCTAACTCCCACTTCCAGTTGGAGGGCTGGGCCCATTCCCCAGGTGCTCCCGCCTGCCTGTGCCAACTGGATGCGTCTTCCCCAGAATTCCGCAGAGGTCCATGGAAGAAACTGCTGCTAAGCCGCCAAGGGGGGCAGGAAGATCTTACTGTGACCCTTGCCTTTGCCCACGAACCTTACATCTATGCAGCAAACAGAAGCCGCTCGAGAAACCCTTCACTGGAGGATTGAGACTGACCCATCGCCACCGTAAGGTGACTTCCTGTCTCCGCCTGGAGTAAAGGGGCTGAGGTCACTGACATGAGAAGAGCCCTGCCTCGCTGGTTTCCTCCTTGGGGACAGAGAGGAGGACGCTCACCTCCAGAGAATTCTTATTCGTATAGACTTTGTTTTCCCAGACACAGGGTCTGGCACAAACAATGCTCTTTTTTTTTTTAGGGGCATTAAACGTGTTTAACACCCATCACCAGACTGTTCCACATTTTTGTGTGTCTGATGAGCGCTTTCCAGATCTACTTTCTTAGCCACTCTCCAGTACACAACACGGTATAGTCACTGTACTGTATATGTCACCACGCTGTACACGACATCCCATGGCATTTATTCTACAGCTGGCAGTTTGTGCTTTTGGCTGCCTTCACCCACGTTACCCACCTCCCCACCCTTGCCTCTGGCAGCCACCCGTCCGTGGCCTCTGTCTGGGAGTTTGGGTTTGTTTGTTTTTGTTTTTTTAAGATTGCACGTACAGATGAGATTATGCATGATTTTGTTTCAACTGGAGCGACACAGAGCAAAGTGATGTTTAGGGGGTAGAGTGAGGGGGAGGAACAAAGGACAGCAGTTTGTCACCAAAGCAAAATGTGTGTGTGTGTGCGCGTGTGTGCTGTGTCGGTTGTTATACAGAAACACAAAACATTTTACATATTTATGCCATTCCATGTTTTACATATGAAATCCTGGTTGTTTATCACTGTGCTTACCTATGAGGTCTGGAAATGGGCAATTCTGATGTTTCCCATACAAAACTTTATATATTCTTTTTAAAATTTTTTAAAATTCTTTTTTAAAGATTTTATTTATTTTTAGAGAGGGAAGGGAGGGAGAAAGAGAGAGAGAGAAACATCAATGTGTGGTTGCTGGGAGCCGTGGCCTGCAACCCAGGCATGTACCCTGACTGGGAATCGAACCTGTGATGCTTTGGTTCTCAGCCCGAGCTCAATCTACTGAGCTATGCCAGCCAGGGCTTTTTGAAAAAATTTTAAAATTTTATTTTAATTATTGTTCAGGTACAATTTTCTATCTTTTACTCCCATCCCAACCCACCCACCCAGCCCTCCCTACCTCCCTCCCTTTTCCACCCGCCCCTCGTTTTTGTCCATGTGTCCTTTATACTTGTTCTTGTAAACCCTCCCCTTTTCCCCTTGAAATTCCCTCTCCTCTCACCTCTGAACTCTGTCAGCCTGTTCTCTATTTCAGTGTCTTTGGTTATATTTTGCTTGTTTCTTTGTTTTGTTGTTTAGGCTCCTGTTAAAGGTGAGATCATATGGTATTTGTCCCTCTCCACCTGGCTTATTGCACTTAGTATAATGCTTTCCAGCTCCATCCATGCTGTTGCAAAGGGTAGGAGCTCCTTCTTTCTTTCTGCTGCATAGAATTCCATTGTGTAAATGTACCACAGTTTTTTGATCCATTCATTGACTGATGGGCATCTTGGCTGCTTCCAGCATCTAGCTATTGTAAATTGTGCTGCTATGAACATTGGGGTGCAGAGGTTCTTTTGGATAAATGTTTTTCTTTATTATATTTTTTCCATTACCATTTGGTTCCCTTATACCCACCCCCACCAATCCCCACACTGTTGCCCATGTCTGTGAGTCCTTTTTCCTTTTTGCTCAACCCATCCACCCCCAACTCCCAACAATTCTGGTGTCTCCCATACAAATCTTCGTATACACTTTTAAAAATTTTTACATTTTTAAAGTTTTTTCAATTACTGCCGACATTCAATATTATTTTATATTAGTTTCAGGTGCACAGCTTAGTGGTTAGATAATCATACTTTGCAAAGTGTTTCCCCCCAAACTTCCAATACCCACCTGGCATCGCACCTAGTTATTACGACATTATTGACTGTGTTTTTATGCACTGCCTTACAGCCCCGAGACTGTTCTGTAACCACCATTTGTGCTTGTTAGTCCCTTCGCCTTTCTCACCCGTCCCCCCAGCCCTCCTCTCCTCTGTCTAGTCTGGTCCCTGTGTCCGTGAATCTGTTGGGGAAGGACACTAGACTCTAGTACACTGTGTGGCCTGGCAGAGAACCACGCTTGCATAATCAGGGTGGCAAGGGTGCTGTTTATTGGCTGTGTTAGTTTTCTATTGCTGCATTACAAGGCACCACAAACTCAGCCATGTGAAACAGCTCTCATTTATTAGCTCACGGTCTCTCAGGCAGGAGCCCGGACGTGGCGTGACTGGGTTCTCTGCTGGGGGTCTCACAAGGCTGGGGCCAAGGTATGGGCTGATCTGCATTCCCTCTGCAGGCCCCAAGGAAGGACCTGCTCCAAGCTCATTCTGGTTCCTGGCTGAATTCAGTTCCTTGTGGTTGTAGGACCCAGTCCCTATTTGCTTGCTGTCAACCAAAGGTGACTCTCAGCTCTGACGCTACCTGTATTTCTTGGGACTTGGCCTTCTCCATCTTTAAAGTCAACCATGGCAAGCGGAATCCTCCTCATGTTCCCAGTCCCTCTGATGACCTGCCTTTGACCTCTAGACTCAGACTGAAAGGGCTCTTGTGACTCTGTCACTCTCACTCAGATAACCTCCTTATCTTAAGGTCAACTGACTTGTGACTCTATTACATCTGTAAAATGCCTTCGCTGCTACTCCTCGGTGACTGTTTAGGAGAAGGTATGTGTATTCCAGGAAAGAGGCGTTGGGTCGTTTGTAGCATCCTTATCTCTGAAGGGACACGGGGCAGAATCCGCACACCCGGGCCCTGCCGAGGTCCCCCAGCCTGTTGCGCTGATCTCCCCCGCTCTGGCCCTGTGTGCTCCTCCACGACACTCCACCAAACCAGCGCCAGACATGCGGGGCTGCCTCCTCGGGGCGTCACTCCCCTCTGAAGGCTCCTGGGTGACACAAAACTGGTATCAAATAGATGTATGTGCTTTTCTCCGGTTGCTCTTTATCAGTTTAATTTTAGGACCCACCCATGTGCCCCGAGGGGACTGAGGGAAACATCTTCCTCCCCTCACCACCAGCAGAAGCGAACTTGGCTCCTAGACATACTGATTTCCAGTTCCTAAGATGATGCTTTTTTTTTCTCATTTTGGCTGTAGAGCAAAGTGTTTCAACCCACAGTTGTGCCTTCTAGTTGGGTGAAAACTGCGTTATTCAATCTGTCAATAATGCTTGTGGTTAAAACAAAAAACGAACAAAAAAAGTTAAATGAGTTTGCGCCAAAGAAGTAGTACTCTGTGGGGATTAGGAAGGCTAAGGGAGAGGGTGTTGTTTCTCATGATAAATTCTGCTGCACTTTAGATTTTTTTTAACTCACTTGTATTACTTTAATGAATATAATCTAAAAAATACCTTCGGGAGTAATTCTGTGACCTGAACAGTATTGGTCATGCAGTGATGCTTTCATAAGCTCATGTCAGAGCCAGTAAGGTGGGAATTCCTTCAGAAACTGCACACAGTCCAGAGAAGGTTT